GTTTTATCTTGTTTTACGAAAATACGAAGATTAATGTGTTAATAGGTGATCTGATGGATAGGTAGTTACAAGATGCATAGATGAATGAATGAATAACATACTCCCTGTGTTTGTGCATGAACCCGCAGCATCGTTCAGTATGGGCTGGGCCGCCTTCATGAGCATCTCTCCTAATGTGAAAGAAGAGGGAGCGATGAAGGAGGACGCCGGCACTCAGGACACTCCGTACTTCTCTTACTATTTCTGCCATATAAAGACGCGCTAAAATAGTAAGAGTAGTATACTAGTATGTAGTACGTATTTAACAACTGTCTTTATGAATGGTTGAATCATTGACTCACTTGATTCGTTCAAACACACAGAATCCTTCAGGAATGAAACACCACTGTTAATCATAGATGCAATAATTGGTGAAATAGAGCAAATCAGTCCATACTGATAATACTGAGTCTAAATTGTACGTCACTTGTAACTTGAACATTGACATTTGTTTAGTTATTTATTTATTATATACCATTGTATACAGTATAAAATAAAGATCTTGAAAGAAGGACAGATGAGCAACCGGCTGAAGTCTGTGCTGGTAGATGGACAGTCCAACCTAAAACCGAAGGCAGAAAAATAGCTTACTTCCGTGCAAAACAAGGTGGATGCTCTGTACTAGACACACTGTAGTTCATATGCTGCTGTGTTGTTTTCACCAGGGCTTCTTTGAGGAAGAGGAGAGTAAGGAGTTTATCTACAAGGAGCCGAAAATATTGTCCGATCCTAACAAACCATACATCAATGGAAAGATTATTTATCCAGCTTTCAGATGGTGTATAAATCTAAATTTCGGAAAATGTACCCTTATGGCTGGTTTTGTGCTCCAGGGTCACATATGATGAAAACAATTTAAAGGGTTACTGAAGCTTTGAAAAAGGTAACTGTGACTTTTTATCTCACAATACATTTTTTTTTTTTACTGTAGATTCTGAGAAAAAAAAGTCTGAATTGTGACATGTAAAGTCAGAATTGCGAGATGCAGACTAAAAAAGTGTTGCAATTACCTTTTTTATGTTTCATTCTGTGGTAGAAACAAAAAAACTGAATTCGGGGGGAAAAGTCAGAATTGTGAGGAAAAAGTCAGAATTCTGTCAAACATCTGACTTTCAAAATTCTGACTTTTTTTCTTGCAATTCTGAGAAAAAAAGTGAGAATTGTGAGATTTAAACTCAGAATTGTACGTCATAATTTTGTGTTTACATCTCACAATTCTCAGTTTATGTCACAATTCATGTCACAGTTTATGAGTTTATATCTTGAATTTCTGACTTTGTCTTTATCTTTTTTTCTTGCAATTCTGAGAAACAAAGTGAGTGTTAAAATAAGAATAGCCAGGAAAATAGTCAGAATTGCGAGTTTATATAAAGTTTGTCACAATTGTGACTTCTTTTTCTCAACATTCTCAGAAAAAAAGTGAAATAAAAATGCAGATTTGCAAGGGGGATCAAAATGGTGAGAAAGTCACAATTACCTTTTTTATTTTTTTTATGGCAGAAATGGGCTTCCATAGTAAGCATTGTTAATCATTCTAGAGCTTCTGCTCGGCTTAGCAACTGAATTATACACACTGCTTCTTTCAAGAGACTGTCGAACAGAAACTCAGCAAGCATTGCATTTGTTTTCAAGCACTTTGAAGCATTCAGCTTCCTTCTTCCTCAGTCTTTCTATTGCTTTTAGGACATTCGGCTGTGTAAGCCATTGTTGACAGTTGGATAAAAAGACAATAACAAGCCATTATCAGCTGGATTTATAAGCTCATTACATATTTCACATGTTTATGTAGTGAGCTAGGCACAAAAGCACACTCATTTAGATTTACAAAGATTCATTATGGCAGTAAAAGTAAGTTAGTTTTTTCCAAATTTAAGCTATTTAAGACTGGAATACTCTACACAGCTTTTAAATTCTGAATCGATATTTAAAAAACTATGCATCCTATACCAACATTATATTTTCCGACACGTATTTCATGATTTAAAGGGGAGCTCACAACACTACTGTACGTATGTGCACAAAACTTCAGAGAAGGAGGATTATTTTCTGCAAATTATCCCATAAAAGAAAAAAAAGTTACAGCACTTTAAATTGATTGCATTCCAATGCAAAAGTAACATGGGTGTTGAATGCCATGCACGTTGGTTTCAGAGTGAATAGCACAACAGGCCATTGTAAATGCATGAATATATGGACAATATTGTCAGAAGCACTGACCTAATAATAGCCATTTTATATTTTTGACAGAATGGATATCTGTTTATTTCTTTGTGAACCTGGCAAATATTTGATGTTACAGACCTTTTCTTTAAACACGCTCAGACCTGTACTGTCTGTGTTCTTCCGCAGCGAGCTCCAGTTTTCCCTTCTTGAAGAAGCGTATCGAGGTGGTGGAGCAGCAGAGCACAGAGATGAATCCCATCGAGGTGGCGATCGACGAGATGAGCCGCAAAGTGTCTGAGCTCAATCAGCTGTGCGGCATGGAGGAGGTGGACATGATCCGGCTGCAGCTCAAACTACAGGGCAGCGTCAGCGTGAAGGTGAGCGATGCACACAAGATGCTCTGATCCTGCATTAGTATGAGTGGATGTGCACGTCCACAGCGATATATGATATTAAATATAATGTGCAGCATCCTGAATTACTCTTTCAGTCATATTGCAATTTTTTTTCTGTCTCCATGTCATGCATTTAAAATTGTTTAATGCACATCTAGCCATTTCTAAATCCTTACATAAGTGACCCCATATGCAAATGCTATATATATATATATATATATATATATCAAATGTCCATATGTGAAATACATTGCCATATGAGACATGCTGACCGAGCTCTCCGCCATCATGAACGAGCAGGTCAGCACACTTCTCCTCTGACACGCCACTAAAGATCAACTCTTTCCTCGCCGTTACGTGTTTTCACTGAAGTATGGTAGGGGGCGTTGTTACACATCTTCTGAAAGAGTACTGAATCTCTGGATCAAAGCACAGGTGAAAAAATACCGAATAAAACGGTTTGTTTCGTTTAAAAGCAAAGGTTCGGTTCTCTCTTTTGACATATGTGACCCTGCAGCACAGAAGCAGTGTTAAGTCGCTGGGGTATGTTTGTAGCAATAGCCAACAATACATTGTATGGGTCACAATTATACATTTTTTATTTTATGCCAAAAATCATTAGGATATTAAGTAAAGATCATGTTCCATGAAGATATTTAGTACATTTCCTTCCGTAAATATATCAAAACTTAATGTTTGATTAGTAATATGCATTGCTAAGAACTTCATTTGGACAACTTTAAAGATGATTTTCTCAATATTTAGATTTTTTTGCACCCTCAGATTCCAGATTTTCAAATAGTTGTATCTCAGCCAAATATTGTCCGATCCTAACAAACCCTACATCAATGGAAAGCTTATTTATCCAGCTTTCAGATGATGCATAACTCTCAATTTCCAAAAATTGACCCTTATGACTGGTTTTGTGCTCCAGGGTCACATATTGCATGCTATTCATATAACGAAATATTGTGGGGGCCATGAAAGTTTTGTGAAAATGATCAAAAATGCTGGTGGTGGCTGGCAACTTTATAAAAAAAAAAAAAAACCTTGGCGGGGAAAGAGTTAAAGGCATGTTAAATGGTGAAACAAAACTTTTTTCTCTGCCTTTTGCTTGTAAGTAGTTACTTTGTGTGTTAATGTTTTTTCTATATTTTTTCGCCCTTTTAAAGATCCCGTACACAAGACAACCCGGAACAGAACGGCATAGTGCCATCTGAGCTGCTAGTGAGTTTGAGAAACTGCTCACAGACGTTTTTATCCAGCATGGCTTGTGGGTTTTTCTGACTAGAGGGCGTAAAAAACTTGATTTTAATGAAATCAAAATAGACAAAAAGGAAAAGAATTGCAGTTTTGGGGACGAAGCAGTATGCCGTGTCTTTGCCTGTGTAACACACACACTCACTCACTCACTCTCTCACACACACACACACACACACACACACACTCACTCACTCACTCACTCACTCACTCACTCACTCACTCACTCACTCACTCACTCACTCACTCACTCACTCACTCACTCACTCACTCACTCACTCACTCACTCACTCACTCACTCACTCACTCACTCACTCACTCACTCACTCACTCACTCACTCACTCACTCACTCACTCCACACTCACTCACTCACACACACTCACTCACACTCACTCACTCACACACGCACTCACTCACTCACGCGCACACATGCACACACACTCACTCACACACACACACTCACACGCACTCACTCACGCACTCACTCACACACACACACACACACACACACACACACACTCACTCATGCACACTCACACACTCACTCACTCTCTCACACTCAAACACACAAATAGCATCTGAAGAACTACAAGTACATCACATAAAATATGCCTTTTTTTCTAGACCCTGTTATTTTTAGGAAGCAGTGACCTTAACTCGACTAAGCAAAGCTTTTCTAAGGCTTTCACCTCAATGCTTTCTGCTGTGTGTTTCACTGATATCTGAATGCTGTCAGGCGTATGCTCGTCATGTCTCATGTATTACACATAACAGTGTTGAACACATCTCTAGTCCCTGAGTGAATGTAAAGCTCCTAACAGTCTGCCAGTCCCAGCTCATCTTCATTTTACAAACGCAGGTGTGCTATTTTATACATTTTCTATGATTGACAATGTTTTACTGTTATTACATGTACTGTTGTAAATTGTAAATAAGAATAATTAAAATTTAAAATGTTTCTTTTTATATATTAAAAGATGATATATGATTGTTTGTGTCGGTTATTAATGCAGGACATTGATTGAATAAAAATGTTAATGTCCAAAACTGGAAAGACAAAACTAACGGGATAAAATACAAATACAAAAGGTGAAAAACTTAATAAAACTTCATGCTCAAAAATGTGCACAAACATTTTTCATCCTAACAAACCATACATCAATGGAAAGCTTATTTATTCAGCTTTCAGATGATGTATAAATCTCTATTTTAAAAAATTGACCCTTATGACTGATTTTGTGGTCCAGGGTCACATATTGCATGCTCATGCTATTCATATAACGAAATATTGTGGGGGCCATGAAAGTTTTGTGAAAATGATCAAAAATGCCGGTGGTGGCTGGCAAATTTTCTTTTTTTTTAAACAATGGCGGGGAAAGAGTTAAATGCTTGTTAAATGGTGAAACA